TCTTAATGACCAAAAGTACAAAACAAGAGTCTAAAAATATCCAAAATTGTTGAGTACAATGATAAATTACTCTATAGTGTGAGCACCCTAACATAATAAAAAAATTTGAGTTAGAGAAATTCATTTTATTGTCATGAGTTATATTTTAAATGCCATTTTGACTGTAAAATGTACTTAGTAGACAACAAACACTTAACATAAAATTACCAAAAAAACAGAACACTTAACATAAGACGGATCTCAATATTTACATATTTTTGATACAATAATGAACAACCATAATGCAATGGTCACTATTTTTTTTTTAAAAATCTTAAAACCTAAATTTTTGAGATATTATAGTGATTTTTTGAAAATATTTTTGGTTGAGACTGGCCGATTCTCCAATCCAAATCACCGATTTTATAAATGAAAATTGTAGTCACATGTATTTTATAAGCAGGTGAAGCCGCGTAAAAAGGTTTCCTTATAATTAATGCCAAAGCATACCAGTTCAGAGGAATTTGGTGATTTGTCATTACCTAGAATACCAATTCTGGATTACGGAATAAATAGCCTTTAATTTTGTGATAATCCTTGCATTCGAAACATACACATTTCTGAATTTGCAAAAGAAAAAATCATTCATATTCCACCCATAGTTCTTGTCAAACCATTCCACCGTCTTTTTAACATTTGCATTTGGTGATCAAGTCATAACAATTCATTTTCTTCCTCATCTTTAAAGCATTGTTTGGACTATATTTTAGAGAGTGGAGAAACTATTTTTTTTTTCTTTCTCTAAATAAGAGCACCTTGAAAAACCTGGATTGCCAAATAAGAGCACCACACTTTACTTATTCCGCTAGATTTCTATTTCAAGTAGAAATTTAAAAAGCAGATTTGGATCGAGAGTCAGTTGGGACCAACCTAGTTCCTAATCAACTCTGGGAATCAATCCGAGTTTGATAGACTAGGTCTGCCCAAAACTAGGTGAGTCTATCTGGAACCTGGCGATCTAAATTGGCAAAATTGTCTAATTCCTACCCATGTTATTTTTTGTTATTTTTCAATTTTTTTGAAAATTTAACCTGATTATCACACCGGAGAATAAGTCTAATTCAGCCCAAATCGGCAATCCGGGTGAATCCAAAAGGTGACCAATCTGGCCTCCCGATCTGGATCCTGGAGAACCACTGTCCAATATTTGTTTTGTGGGACCAAGATCCCCCATTTCAAAAATTTTGCTCTAAAATGAACTATGGATTCTGTCTTAGTCATCTCTTTGCAAGTTAAAACCATCTCATGGACATATAAAAGTAAAATGAGTTACGTAATGTCAACTTCATTTAAAAGTATATGGATAACCTTCTCTCTAACAAAGTTTTATCACAAGGCATTTGAGTTTTTTATATCACCATCTGACACTTGACCAGGACCATGTATTCGAATTATGCAATCCACACAAGACTTTCATCCTTTTTTTTTTTTGGCTTTCTCAAAATATTTCTTTTTTGTTGACATGAAAACCTTTTTGTTATCCTTCTAGTAAAGTTTTAACCTTGTTGTGCATGAAAGCTCTAAAACATGAAGGGTTGATTTTTTGGCGATTAAAGAGTGAGAAAAAATAGAATTGACAACAAACAATCTACCAGTAAGAAAAATAAAGCAAGAAAGAAATAACAGAAAAAGAACACAATAATTTATGTGATTTGTCCTAGATGTGACTACATCAATGGGTATGGTATACTAAAATCTACTATACCTATGAGAGTTACATCACATACATATTTTGTGATACAAAACATATCATAATAAACTTTGACAAAAATTAGTCGAACAACCCTGTAAACCTACAACCATTACGGACAACATCAGATAGATATGCGAGAGCAATGAGAAACCAATTTTCTCTCTACAAAGAGATACCACAAAAAATCTTCATGAGAACCGCTTCTCTATAAGAAACAAACATCTATCTCAATGCGAAGCATAGACAAACCGTTTTTCTCACTAGAAGCTCATTTCTCTCCCTAGAGGCTCCATCTCACTTCTCTCCCTAGAGGTTCCATCCTATATCACTCTTTCGAGGCTTTTTTAGAGGCTCCTCCTCTTTTGTAGGATTCCATTACATCTAAAGTCCAACTTTTTCATAAGGTAACCCAAATGGGGCCCACATTTTATTTTTCTACAATAATCACTTAAAAAGAAAAGCATAACCCCATAAAGTGGTATATGAGAGGCTCTTGCAATATTTCCCCAATGTTATGGGAAATTTTAATTTTATCATTTTTTGGTCCTCAAATCTATCTTAAACCGTATGGAACTTGTTCAACAGATAACTTTTTACATAATTTGAATTATCAAATTAAATAAAAAAACTTAATAAATATGAAAACTCATTAATATTAATCCCAATCTTAATAATATAGGATTTTGATTTTGGGTATCACAAAATCCAACAAATTTAAACACCTATGAGCATATAAAATGAAAGAAAATTTGTCAAGATATATCTAATTATCAACTATTCAACATTTTACCTATTTTTGACTATTCTAACTTATATTCATGTGTGGCACTTAGTCATGTGTGGCAATGGGTTGGGTTAGGTTGAGGTCCATTGCCACCCCTGACATGCGTGACAACCAATGCATGTGCCATGATATCACTAGTGTTTGCTCCTCATTGTAGGACTGCATTATTGAAACATTGCTTTCTACCCAATTCCAAATCAATTGTAAATGATAAATAATTTATTACTGTTAAAACAAGGGAAATTTATAGATATTTTTCAATTTTAACTATCTAAACATTTTATCTCTAAATACTTTTTGTATTATACCTTGAACCCCAACATTACTTTTTCTTATATATATCAAATAAAATAGTAGATTGGCCGGAAAATGGTCGATCCACTTCCATTGAGAGTAGCAGCAGCGCTAAAAACGATAGATTGGCCACAAATCCGAGGTACAGTGGCCATAAAAATGGTGGATTGATTGAAAATGAGACAATAAATAGTGGAGAACTAAGCTGCGCCTCCATATTAGAGAGGAGAAGTAGCAGTGGAATTGGGGAACCGCTAATTTTGGTGGAGGAGTTGGTTGCGCGCTAATTTTGGTGGAGAGGGGAGGTGGCCGCACTGCTAATTTTTGGTAAATAGAGAGAGTTCGGGATGAGAGAGAGGGTAAAGAGCGAGTGACGGAGGGTAGAGAGAGAGGAAGAGAAATGGTGAGGGAGGGTAGAGAGAAAGAGTGAAGGATGGTAGAGAGAGAGAGAAATGGGTAGAGAACACGTGGTTAAAAAAGGAATGAAAAGAAAGAAGAGGCAATTTGGTGTAAAAATACATTGACTATTTGTTTGAGGGTATATATAACAAAAAAAAAAGTGATGCGTATAATACAAAAAATATTGAGAGTAAGATGTGTAGAAAGTTGAAATTAAAAGCATCTATAAATTTTCCTTAAAACAATCAAGAATTTAGTTAATGATTTTTTAAGTAAGCCACAACGTGGGAGCTCCTTTCCCATTGCAACCCCAAACTTCACATAACAGTTTGTCACTCTATAAATAAGTCTTAAATATTTATTTTCAAGATCTTACTGTTCTACTCACTTTCTATATCAAAAGTAAAGACAACTATCGTGCTGTCTGATCGTGTTATTGTAGTGCATTGAGGAGGCTTCACAATTGTTTGATCTTTTTCAGATATCTTAAGGCAAGTTTTCTAATAAATTCTTATGCAAACTGTTAATTATAAGTTGGGGGCATTTATTATATTAAGATGGTGAATAATGTGCCTGAAAATATAAAATTTTTTTTCAATTAATTTCATTTTTTTTTTTAAAAAAAAAGCAAAAAAAGAAGACTGATTTTTTACTGCCCCAGTTGACCCACACCCACCACCATATCTAACAATGTTGGCAGGCATCTGGGGTCACTGCAAGCTCTACCAAATTCAAAGTTCGGATCCTTTGAAGGATAAAAGCTTTTCCACATTTACAACCTTTCTCTATTTAGTCGAATCAGTTCCTTCCATGGCTTTATGGAATGAACTTTGTTCTTATCAATCACTACAAAGGCATCTTATTTTTTGCACACGTCTCCACGTAGAATCAAAATATAGGTCGGTAGTTTCATGGTCTTTAGAGCATTGGGAGAAGAACCTAGAGAGAGCACTATAAATCACTTCATTACAAATTAGACCAGAGAGAGAAAGGGTGGCAATGAGCTGGGTGGCCCGGTCCGGCCCTAAAAAACTAAGGCTTAATGCCACGAAATGTGGCGGGCTAGACAACCACATCCCATTGGTAGGGTCAGGCTGCGCCTGGGCCAAGGTTGTACTCTCTTTTCTTTGTTTTTTTTTCTTTTGTTTTATTTTCAATTTTATTTGGCCTTGCCTCGCTGAACCAGGTCCTAATAGGCTATAGCCTTTTTGGTCTGATCAGGGATGGGAAGGCCGGCCCTAAAGCTGGGTTAGGGTCGGGCCAGGCCCATTGCCACCCCTATAGTGAGGGAGAGAGAATGAGAACATATTTATCACTCATTACAAAATAGACCAAAACCATGGGCCCCACTCCGACATGTCCATGGTGGTGGTGGGGAGCTTTAAAGAACATCTTGGATCTCCTTTATCCATCCCCATCTTCTCATTCCATTATCCCTAAAATTCCAAAAGTTTAAAAACCACACCAATTTCACCACCATTTCCACTCATTTCCAATAATATTTTTCCTCACCACCATCTCTAAACTATGCATAACAATTAGGAATGACTAAAATAACCTTGTTTATCTCAATTCTCTCTCAAATCTTGCTAGAGTTGTAAGCAAGACTCCTTTCACCAATACCTAACTCAAGCAATGCTTCATTTATTCATCATTATTCACATGCCTTTAAAAAACTCCCTTTTCCTTCCCCAAAATTCAAAAGCTTTTAATAGAGTGCCGCTTGACAAACACATGGGTAGTATCATAACCCAAATGGGAAACAAAAAATAATCCTATGGTCCACAAAAATGCCAAAAGTTTTACTTTATTCATGGAACACAAGAGGGTACACTTCCCCATTCCCCTTTACTTACATTCTATGGTGACATTCTCTAGGACCTGCTTAATAATAGTAAGTACATAAAGGGAGAGACGAGAGATTCACAATATTCTTACTCTAGTTTTTCACCTTGCGTACACCTTATATTTCTTGGACCTAGCACTTTGTCCCATATAATGGACATATAGTCACATGCACAAATACACAAATGTATAGTATATAGTAAATAGGAAGTGAGAGAGAGAGAATGAGAGAGAGACCCTTAAGACCAGACCAACCAGCCTGGTTAAGACCAGACCAACCAGCCTAGCTGATCATGGTGCTCGGTCTCTATACCGAAGACCTCAGAGAAGTAGAGGTCTTGATCATGTCGGCCCCTCTTCTCGTCGGCCACCTCCTCGTCCTCCTCTGACTGTGTGCCATCGAGGCTCGGGCAACGGTCATAGTCCGGAGGGGGGTAGCAAGAGTTGCCACTATCGATCAGGTGAGCCCCGTCATCGTCCACTACGGCGCTGCCACCTGTCCCACAGCTCAATCCTTCCTCAATCTTGAAGCTCATGATGGGTTTCATTTCTTCAGGGGGAGAGGAGGACCCTATGTCGCTCTCTCCTATCTCCTTGGCTTGCAACTTCTCTACAAGTGAAGCTACCTGTTTGATAATTAGGATTTAGTACATCGATAGCTGTAAACTTAAATTATGGTCATATTTCTATTTGAGGCAAAAGTATAAGGATTACACAACTTCGCTTTGAGGATAAAATAATTATTTTATTTAGTCAATGCTCCAGTTGTGGTACAAAACTATGGGTCGTGGTGGCACCCCATCTCTAATTACCATGTTGTGGTTTCCATTCTTGATAACACCCCTTGATTTTTTGACACCACCCACTGATTTTTTTCAAAAGAAGCTTACTCCCTAATCTATTTGAAAAAATGGGTAGGGGGCGTGTATGTTCCACTGAGTTACCCGAAAAAAAAAAAAGCAAAAAAAAAAAAAATGTAAATGGGGGTAAACCCATGGGAATTTGGATTTGAATATTGGGAAAAGAATTGCGCACCTTTTTTTTTTCCAAATTAGCAAAATTAATGTCTCATCAGCTTTCTCCAAATTTAACATAAATTCAACCAATTTAGGCTTACAAACATGCTCTAACACTATTTAAATGTCAACCCCTATTGCATTTGGCTTCTTGGATTAGGTCTCGAGGCTTAATTAAGGGCCATAACATTATGGATTCATATTCTAATCTTCACTTAAGCACCCCAAAAACAATATTTATGATGATATCAAAGGAGTTCTGAAGCAAGCTTAAGTACTTAATGACCAAGGGTTCATAGATCTCTTCATAAGAGCCCACAACATATTGAATTTTTCAAAGAAGTTGCTGCAACCAGCAGAAAGAGAATCAAACAGATGAAAAAAATCAATAGAATAGAAGGCAAAAAAGAGTAATTTTCTCATTAAACACATGGAAAATTCGAAGTCACAAAAAAGGAGAAAAGAAAACTCATATATGAGTACCTCAGATTTGAGCCTTTCTTTCTCCTTGACGAGAGTCTCGTAATCCGACCTCAACGAGTCGTAGGAGGACTTGAGGAGATCGTAATCCCTCTCCAATTGCTTGGTCTTCCACCTAGCCCGGCGATTCTGGAACCAGACGGCTACTTGGCGCGGCTGAAGTCCCAGTTTCTTTGCCAGTTGGGACTTCCTCTCCGGCTCCAGCTTGTTCTCCGATTCAAAGCTCCTCTCTAGCAGGTGCACTTGCTCTGCAGTCAGCCTCCGCTTCTTCTCCGGCAAGTGCTCGTCATACACCTCGTCATCCAAATTCATTCCTGACAGACAACCAAATCGATAATTTCACTATGTTCTATCAATCTGGATGCTCAGGATCCCTGAGCCTGAAACTGGGGGAGATTAAGCCAAATAACTCTGCATCAAAAGCTAATAGCTAAGATCTTAGTAAAAAAAAAAAAAGTTCATTGAAATTTTTTGGAAAAAGAAGATGTTTGTCAAACATTTATGAATAAGTTTTCTATGCAATTTTTCTACTTGAGCTTGAGGGATGAGAAAAGAGCTACCAAACAATAAGACCTTAATGAAAGAGAATTTTGGAAAGACAGTTAATGGCGCTAACATTTTATTTATCAAGAAGTTTTGTTTGTGAAATGATGATTAGTGAAATGGAGACGCACAAATGATACCATGATAATTTTTTCAACCATGTTTGTTGATTGATACGATCACATCACTGCCTTGAAGTTAACTAATTCTGTAACTGATCGACAAGAAATATGTTTGCCAGAGAGAGAGAGAGAGAGGACTTCCTGTTATTACCATGGTAAAGGGAGTCATTGGCTCCCATGAAGAGCATATTGCCCCCACAGGCATTAAAGATGAGACGGCCCGAAGCCATGAACAGATCAGCTAAAGAAAACTTCTCCCGAAAAAGAATTCCGGCTTACCGGACTTCTTTCTCTCTCTTCTTTTCGTGAGCTCCCCCGATTTCTCTCCTCAGGTCTTAGAAGATCATGATCTTGTGGCGAAAGAAGCTAGTACTCCAGAGCAAGCGAGTAGGGGTTTGCAAAGGAGAGAGAGAGAACCCCATCGCCCAAAACTCAATCGAATTTTCAAGTATTTCAGCCGTCGAGGTCTGATCCGAGATTTGGGTCTTTCCGGGCTTGAGTTTTGGAGTCAACCAGTAGAGAGAGAGAGAAAGAGACAGAGTGAAGTGATAGAGAAAGAGTATGAGAGAGAAAGATCTGGGTTAGAGAGAGAAAGTAGACTTGTTTGGAGCGATATGGTCTGAAAGGGAAGGAGAAAGACCGAGTCTCTCAGCTTTTATTGACGATTTTGGTGTAATTTTTCAGTCGCCGGATTCTGAGTTCCGATTGGCAAAACAAAAGTTGGATTCCGGTGGGTATAGCTTGGAATTGCACCCTAGATGCGCTCACCCATCTGCGCTTGTCGGGCCCCTCACTAACTTTCTCTCTCTACCCATCTACGCTTATCTCTCTCTCTCTCTAAATATTTCTCTGTCCCCTCTCTCTACTCTCCCCCTCCTCTCTCTCTCTCTCTCTTGAAAAGATTCTGGAGTTATGGCTGGTAAAAAAGTTCAGAGCAAAATATCTCTCCTCCCACTATAACTATTTATCCTAAAACACGTCTTTAACGCAGCATCTCATCTCAGTGTGGGAACAATACCATATGATATTTTTCTAAGGACACGGCCAGTCCACGTATTGTAGAAATGTGGGTTTTGTGATAAATACATTTTTTATATATGATTCGATCTTTATTTTTAGAGAATATATAATGTTTAACATGGATATCATGAATATGATTTTTTTTTTTGAAAACTAAAAATAATAATTATATTAAAAAAATATTTGGACAGTTAGTTACACCTGTTTTTTGATGGACAAGCAATTTGCATCCATTTTAAAAATGGATGCTTTATACACTTGGACAGCATGTTTTAGAAATACAGTCCAACCCTCATGAAACAATTTTCCTTTTTCTAATTCATGGAGATATTGCCATGGAATTATTATAACTCGATGCTTCTCTCTCCCCCGTAAAAACTAGGTCGAATTTTATTTAGATGGTATGGATTTGACATTATCTCAAAAGTACATTACTTTTTAATATTATTTTAAGGATCTCTCAAATCTAAATTATCCAACTAAATAGATTGTGCAGAACATCACTACTTTAGTTTTACAAAATAAAGTTGCTATTTAATTTACCCAAAAAAAGGAAGATGGATAAAGTATAGTGAGACAGTAGTTTCTCGAAGAGAATCCCATAGTTGCAACCTCTCTGATATTTATCGACACAGCTTCCTTGAGTCCATGTAGAAATGAGTCACCTCTTAAAAATTTATTTTTGAGATGGATTTTTTGATTTGATTTTTAAGGACATATAATCTCTAACATGAAGATATGGATATGAATAAATAAATAAATTTAAAAAACTAAAAATAATAATTCTATTAAAAAAAACATTTGAACCGTTAGTTTTAAGGTATAAAGATGGATGCTTTATACCTTGGTACCGTATATTGTAGAAATACGGTCCAGCCCCCGTATGAAACAATTTTCCAATATTTATTATAGGAAAGGTAGAGATACGTTCTCCTACTTATAAATTCCAATCGACCCAACCAATTTCATTCATATCTATCTTTATTTTGCCCATTTTGTATTCTTCTGCGTAAATCATTTCGGTGTAATATATAGAGGCGTCCACGTCTATCTTTCTCTCTGAATTTTAAAAATTTGGTCTCTCGGCATTTTTTATAAAAATTATCTCTAGGTGGTCCACCCGGGTGATCGCATGAAAACGAATTTGCAATTTTAAAAACCTTAGCATCTCTTATACAAGTTTGGGTGTCCCACAACCGACCAAAGGCCGAGAGGTTTTTTTGTTTTTGTTTTTGGGTAAGTAAATAAACCAGATATACTATTAGAGCATTTACATTTGGTAAAATATTTCATGATCCTGAGGGACTTTACAATATATTTACTCCTTTGACCAAAACCTGGTCTATAAGTATTTTTCGGGCCTCAAAATTGGGATATGTAACATCTTCGACCATATGCTATACTCAATAAAAAAAAAAAAATATTCAAATTGTATTTTATATGGGATTAAATAAAAATAATGGCTCAAAATTGTGTAAAAATTTGAAGGCTGAGATCTAAGTGTTAGAAAACTAAAAAAATTTAAATTTAAACTTTTAGATAATCGTCTAATGATTTTTGAACGATTCTAAAAGTCTTGGATGAAAAATTCTTCCCAATTTAGTTTTCACCTTGAGGGAGTAATTGTATATTCTATGCTTATGCGGGAGGATGGTATACACGCTCTTTACAGTTACTACTATAAGGACTGTTCAAGGAGTTCATTGTAAAATTTGGTAGCTCGGGGTGTGTGAGGGTGTTTCACAGACATAATTGTTTTGGTCTAATAAGGGTAAGGATATTAAACTCTCTTTTAACCTCTCCTAAACCCGGTTAAAGTAAGTGGGTTGTGTTAGGTAGGCATCCGACGTAAAACTTTGCCACATTTTATCGTGAATTCTGAACCTATATTTGGTCATACTGAGGGTATGTGTATTGATAGAGAGAATGAAGCATAGGGTTCTCGGGAACCCCTAGTTTGCAGAACCAGGAATCTCAAATATCGAGATCCTACCCAAGATCGTATACATGATTGGTTAAATATGAAGTAGATGAATACAACTATAAATCGAGTGTGAGAAATAAAAAAAAATATAAAAAAACATATCACCACACACGATTTATATGGTTCAGCCTATAGGGCTACATCCACGGCCTCCGTAATTAGAAATCCACTATTTGAATGAAGATTACAATTTTGGATTACAAAAGATAATGCATCCCTCTAAAAAAAACCTTCATTGATTTTTTCCTTCTAAACTTGTTCTCCAGACCAAGCAGCAACATCGATCAACATCTTTTCCACTGTTGTACCGCTATCGAAAAAAGCACATTGAAAGCAACCAAAACACTTTACTCTAAAAGTGAAAACTTAACTAACCTAAAATGATATGGGACTACTGCCTCTCTCTTGGAGGTGATGGCGTTCTCTCTCTTGGAGACCCATCTCCATCTTGGATATCTGTTCCCATAACCCCAAAGGGGTGACCTTCAGAAAGATGGGTATTATGTCTTTCATGACTCTCTTACATAGATATCATTTTTTTGCTTTCAAGAAAGAATTTTTGTTTTTTACTATAATACTCTTAATCTTTAGAAGAAAATATGAGTATAGTGATTTAGCTATCACCAAACCTAACAACCTATTTCGGGATAGCAAAATCACTATAATTCTCTTGACGATCTTCAGTAAATTTTTTAATTTCTCTCCCTCTATTTGATTTGGCCAATACTTTTGTAACACATGTATTTGCACAATGATGTCATTTAAGGGGATTGTTTTGTCATTTAGGAGGATCGTTTATTTGAATTCTAGGGATTTAGAATCACCAAGTGGGGTTATTTTTAACAACAATAGATTTTGAGTTCTTAAACATTTAGATATGACCGTTAAACAAAAATACATTGTCTCTATTCAATCTTAAGGTATTAATTTTTTTTTTTGGAAATCCATTAAAAAAATAGAAAATGGTTATAACCCTAAATAATCTATTAGATCCGTAGGAAGCCGATGAACCCTTCCGAGTTAAAAGAAGAAAAAGAAGACATTGAACCCCACGCTACATTTTTAATAGTCCAAATGACAATATTTGTCATTTTTCTTTTTCTAATGAGCCAATCATCCAAGGCCCTAAAAAACTACTATGCCTCTTTCTCTCTCTCCAACATTTTTGAACCCCTTCCTCTCTCTCTCTCAAGCTCCCAGAACACTGATATATAGAAACTATATATTACTTTGATACCGAATTATATTCTATTGCCTATTAAATTGGTATTTAATAAATGCTTTATACTGTTGAAGACCCAGACTCGAATAGATTCGGATCAAGATTTTGGACCCGGACCCGACCCATCGGGTCCAAAAATTGGATCTATGTTTATACCAGTCAGATCTTGGGTCTACCCCATTGGGCTTTAGGTCCATTGTCACCCTCACTATGAGTTTCTTTTTTTTTGCCCTTTTTTTATCATCATATGCTTATATTATTGGTAACAAGGTCACAATTACCTGTTATTAGATTTCAAGCTGTGTGATTTGTCTTTTAATGTCTAAAAATGACTACTAGTTCTAATTATATACAATCTTTAATACATCCAAATGAATAAGACTTAGAGTAAAATATTTTATCTCTACGGGTCCAACTGTAACCAGATCCAGACTCGTATAGTATTTGAGTCCAAGTTTTGTACCTAAACCCGACTAGCTGGGTCCCAATGCTAGACCCATATCCGACTTGTGTCGGGTATACCTGGTGGGTCCCGTGTCGGTTCGGGTCCAACGCCACCCCTATATATATATATATATATATATATATATAGAGAAAGATATCCATTGGTGTATATGCAGTATACACTTACCCAGTTTCTATATGTGTCCTCATGCAATATACTGCTCTTATATGTGTCCACATGTTACAAGCATGAACTTCACAAATAGGTTACTTCACAGTATACTATCAATTTTTGACTTTTTTCTCAATCCAAGTGGCGCTTTTACACACTTTATCCAGAGCAGTCTCTGGGCGCATCATGGTTATTGCTATCCTTAATGCACATGTTTCGAGAAGCTAATTGGGTTGCAGACTTACTGGCCAAACAGAGGGTTAGGGCTTCAGTGGCTACAGTATGGCGCACTTGACCTCTAGATTTTATCACTTTGCTTTTAATTTCTGATGCAGCAAATATTCCCCTTCAAATGAAGTCTCTTTGTATCCGAGTGTAACATGTTCTTAATCAACGAAGGCAAAAGTTTATATAAGGTTGCAACCTTAAAATGTAGAATCACATATGCACCTTAAAAATATATCGGAAAGGTTGTTTTAGTGTTGAAAAGCTCTTTAAATGATAATCTTGATATCGAGACATATGAATATGGATTTTTTTTTTTGAGTCTTAAAAATAGTGCATCTTGCAATACGTTATCTAGATCATCCATTTTCAAGACTTTCATATATTTATAGATCTACTTGATTTTAACCTTTTTGGAGTTTAAAATTTTCTAATTAGATATGAAAATCGATTTTAAGATGATCCCAATAACTTTTTACAACAAAATTATATGTTATGACAAAATTTGGAGGTGCGCCTTATTTGGATTGTTTAAGGTAGCAACCTTATAGAAGCCACAGACATTAATGAAAGGGTGAGTTTTGCATAAGGTGCCCACCTTATACTGAACAAGTAAGGTACACCTTTGAATTTAGCAAGAAGGAATCGTTTTGGTAGTGGAAACTTTATGATGGCTTCGAAATCTATCTTCAACCAGAATTATAAAGTTTAAAATTCCAAAATAGT